AATTATTGTTTTTTGTTTAAATAAAAATCTTCGGTAAGAACGTTACGAACTTATTCCCCAACCTAATATTTTTAATTTCAAATGCTTAATCGGGACACGTTTATACGATGTGTCCCAGAAAAAGTGTTAGAGCCGAAGAGAGGTGATTCTGAACGACAATTTCCTTAGCCAAAATACAAAGTGAGCCATGATTTTTAAATTATTAACGAAAAAGTGGGCCCTACACGTGCTCTCATTGGTCACTGTTTTTCGTTAATAATTTAAAAATCATGGCTCACTTTGTATTTTGGCTAAGGAAATTGTCGTTCAGAAACACTTCCAGAATCACCCCTTTTCGGCTGTAACACTTTTTCTGGAACACCCTGTATAGTTGCTCATTACCGTGACCAATTAATCCTGAGAATGACATTACAGGAATTAATTTAACTTCGACGAGAACAATTCGTTGGACTGAAAATATAAATTCTACCTCTCCCTTCGCGGAACGTTTAAACGTTACGTAATTTTCAGTTTATCAATGAATCTCGTTGACCGTTTGAAACGATTAAATAATAGCTGATCCAAGATTAATCAGAAATATCGTGTTTCAAAAAGGTCTGTGTTTCAAAGCCATTCGGTTACGTGAGACGTAAAGAATCGAGCCTCGTGTCGTTACTCGATTCATTTCGACAATAACTGCATTCCGTACAGTAGAGTTCTCTGTCCTTTGTTATTCTAAAACGAGTTACCTTTTATTTAAGACCGAAAAATTCGTTTGTAACGAAGTAACGAACGATAGGACCTCGCAGAATGTTTTTACTGAAGTCTGACAGAACTCGATGATCAAAGTACCATTGCAAATGGAATGAAATAGGATATTTCTTAATGTAATCTCATTTCTTTTTTAAATTGTTTCCTACATTCGATACGATTCGGCGAAGTTACTCGATAGCACAATTCGCCTTTATTCAATTTTATAAATAATACCATTATATCGTGTAACCGTAACGAATTGCATTTTCTATCTTTCGTTGTTTTTGTAGTCGATGTTCTCGGAATTCTCTGGCTGCGATATTTATGGACCATGAATAGTCTCCATAAAACAATTTTCATGTTATAACGTTTTTCTGAATTTTCTATTGAACATTGACGAACGATTTTCGGGCGAGTAAAAACGGCCTGGCTTTGAACTCGTTCTAAAGGACTCTGACTTCAATTACGAATTCCAGCTAACATCAATCCTCGAAATAGCGAGTGACCTGGAGATATTAAACACGTTCACAAAAGGAAGACAACTAGGAAAATTAGTCCGCCGATGAAACACTATAGTAAAGTTTCGAAACCTTTGATGAAACGCGCTTCATGAATTTTATTGACCGTAGCAATTCTCCAAACTTGATTCTGTCGGCTTCGTAAGAAGATACATACAATAAATCTAGTCAATAATTGATGACGTCTTCTGTTTCGACATAGCCTGAAGGAAGTTCGATCACAAATATTGATAAGTGAATTTTGCTATTTTCGACGTATGGAAAATATCCGATTTTCTTATCGAATTCCTAAATGAGATTTTTCACTGAAGCTCGAAAGTATCGTGGGAATTTGAAAAACTTTTGATCATTTCTTTAGAATACTTTATAGCAACTTTCGATCATCCGAGCTTGAATCCACTATTTGTATCGTAAAGCCAGCGGACTCGCAGCGTGGCGTTACAGAATTCAAGGAGATCCAGCAATCGGATATTTCTATTTCGAAATTGTGTATGCTCGGTAGCGCTGTGGCCAAGGGTAAGCTCTCGGAGAATAGAAAGCTTGGACGGTAGTCGATTGAAATTCGTGGTTGTTTCGTTCAATAAAACGGAAGTCGACTTACCTGATGGCTATGTACCTCCAGACGGCGAGCGTGAGCGTGATGGCGATGCTGATGGTGTGCAGCAGTTGCGTGAAATGCATGTGAAACAGTACGAACACCGCCCATCCGTAAGGGAATATCTGCCTCTTGGGCAGCACGATGTACACGTAAATGGCGAACGGAATGTACTCCAACATTACCAACATATCCGCAGTGGCCAGTCCGGTTAAAATCGTGTTGATAGGCGCCACGGCCATGTCTTTTCTCGTCAAAACGATTATGTTCAACATGTTCGCGATGGTTCCAAAGAGGCACACGATCAATGCTACGTAGCCGTGGTAGTTCTTGTACTCCGAGGCGAAGTCTTTGATCGTTCCGTTGCAGTAGCAACAGACTTGCTCGTCGTTGCTCATCTGTACCGTCAAATTATCGATGAAATTGTGCGCGTAGTCCAGGTCCTCGTCGGTGATGTTCAAACTGCGGAATATATCCGTGTAATTATTGTGCCGATTCATGGTCGCCATACGGTGTAACAATTGCTTCAGATGCAGGAGGGTCGCGTTCAAGCGCCAAGCGTTCTGTGTGTTGAGCATCGCATCCCGAGTTTCATTGTTGCCGCCCCGATGAAAAAACTTCTGTCGCGTTTCCTCGTCAATTTGTTACGTTCCTCGCAGTTGACATTTATGATACGATATGTCGGTTCGTGAAAATTTCTGTTCTCTTCTCGTCGATTCGTTTTCAGGAAATAGGATATGAAAGCAGCAAGGGACGTGATATCTCCGATGCCTCGTGAATCAAATAATCCAAGTACCCCTTGGGACTCTGTGTTCTCGTCAACGGTTGCAAATATTTTTCACTGTTCTGCAGCTTCGGTCGAGAGAACTCGGGACCGGAAGGGCATTCTCATATACCGCTGACCCTTCTTTCCAATCGCCAAGGAATTTTTTTCATTAAGCTTCACAAAATTCTCCGCGATGCTCGCGTTTCCTCGTCGATTCGATGCTGACTCAGAATTAGCTTCGAAACTTGCCTCGACGCGAGCTTCTTGGACAGTTTCTAGGTTTTCTCGGGTTTAATCCGGCAATCTGCAATTCCCTCGGCTACTCACTCCAATTTCATTAGCCTCTTTCCACATTATTCCGTTCTATTCCCAGTTTTTTCACGAGCCAATTCCAGCGCTCTCAAGCTTTCACCAACTTCCCCAATACGATCATTGAGACTTTTCTTTTAGAACAGAACGTTTCAACAATTATCTGTTGAAAACTCGATCCTTTGATCTCCCCGAAATCTGATGATCTTCTAAGCTGCAGTTTTCTTAATCTACGGCACATCTTGGATTTCGGCGGACCCTCAGCAAGGGTTAATCCCGCGAAACGCGTGACGGATTGGTATTCGTAGACGAATCGACGTTTCCAACTGGCGTTAGACTCCGACGAATTTCGGTATCTCTGGTTAATTCGTTATTGGTCGCCTCGGATCAGTCTCTCCCTGCAACAAGAGAAAAGCGAATGTAGAAATAAATGAATCCTTCGTCTCCTTCAACTTAGATTCATATGCGAGTTCGACGAGTCGATCCTTTCTTAAGGATGTATTGGCTATATAGACAATTCCAAAAGTTTATGCACTTTAGAAACGCATTTTTTAAAAAGAAATCAGACGTCGGAAGAACATTGCTAATAATAAACAACAAAAAATTTTCGATTTTTCCAAGGGGTATCCCTTCAATTTCTTCCAAATTTTCGTTTTTGGCCAATAACTCCCAAACCGTTGGACGTACGAAAAAATTGCATACGACCTTTCTTGTAGAGGACGATGAGATCTACGATTTCTGTATAAAAGTTTCTTGTTAGCGTCAATAATGTACGAGTAATTTGCAAAAAACTGTTTTTTCGTTTTTCGTCAATAACTCGTAAACTATTAATGCTAACGAAGAACTTTTATACAGAAATTGTAGATCTCGTCGTCCTCTACAAGAAAGGTCCTATGCAATTTTTCCGTATCTCCAAGGGTTTAGGAGTTATTGAGGAAAACCAAAATTTTTTATCAGAAGTTCGCCATTTCGACTCTGGGATGATCGGATTTTGTCAACATCAACAAAATGCCAAATAATCATACGGAACTCGTTAAATATCGAAGTTAGAAGGAAAACAACTTTTATTTGAAGGATTTTTCGCAATTTTGAAAAAAAAAATTTTTCGTCAGTGTCAATACTTAATTGGATATTTCCTTTCATACTGTTTAGCACGTAGCTATTTATTATTGGCATTATTCTTCCGACGTCTGATTGCTTTTTAATTATAGGAAATGCGTTTTTCTAAGGTACATAAACTTTTGGGATTGATTGATAGCCAATACGTCCTTAATGAATAGAAGTTTTTCATTAATTTGCGTCACCGTAAATGTTGCATATAGACGAATCGTGGTCGCGCAGATCTATCAGTCTAGTAAGCCAGAAAACACGATACAATTTTCAAACAAATTTATGTGGAGCTCGTTGGAACCAGAAGCTCCCTTCTGCACGCACGCACGCGTGAGAAATAAATTATTCATGGCAACCTGGTCAGACTATACACAGAAGCTAGGAACATGGTTCGTTTAAAATATTTTACATCCAGAATGGCTGGCAAGGTGGGTTGATTTCGAAGGAAATTACATTTCCATGGTGGAAATATCCGTGAACACTCGATGCGCTTTCCTTAGGAAGTTTGCAGATTTCAAACCTGGGGTATTACGAAGCGCGTCCTATTTAAAATTTTCCACTGCAGGCGTGTAGCTCGTATTAAAAATTGTTTTAAATCGAATTTATTCTCTAGTAGGCGTCTCGTGAAACAGGATTCTATTCCATTCGTTAACAAGTTTGTTTGTTCGAAATTCCTTCAATACGAAGTCCTTCCGCGGTTGTTTGGTAGGAAAAAAAATAAATGATGCACATTCGGTTGAGCCACTAAAATCATTGATCGTTTATTGGCTCGCTGGGGAAAAAGCCGTGACGGCATAAAAAACCCCAATTGACGTATGTAATAACAGCGTCTCTTATACAACTAACTCGATAACATAATTCGCACTTAAAACTCGATAAATAACAAACGTTCACTCGATTCGGCAAGAACAGTTCCGATGCAAGGAAAACTCTCTAAGGTCACACGATGTCGTCGCGTTGAAGAACCAACTGAAAGTGCTTGGGCCCAAGCGGTTAAAAAAGAACGTTGGCCTGCGGGCCTTTGTTTCCGGATTGGCGTGGGTTTTTTCCGGATTTTTCCGGTGAGCGCAACCCAAGAGCCTCGTGGCTCGGCCTTAACAAAGAAATCGACGCAACGTCTCGAACGCTCGTTCTTGACAAAGAATTCAACGCAACGTTCTCAAACGTTCGTTCTTGACAAAGCAATCGATGCAATGTTCTAGTT